TCTGGCTTTGAGATCCCTTTCTCTGCCCTCATCTGGGGTTGTTTGGGGTTTTTTTTTTTTGTTTGTTTGTTTGTTTTCCACAGGCACTCCTGCCCAAACAAACATTTAACCCCCCTTGTGTTGCTGGGTCATTCAGATTCCAGAAGAGATTCACAAAGCTTAATTTGGGTGGTGCTTTTGCTTGGAAACAGGTGATATGTTACCAGCTCACTTCTTAGCTTGTCTCTGCTGACTCTTACAATTATCTTAAACCAGGGCTGGGAACTCTGCCCAACAGTCTAAATGAGGTCTGGGGGAACTACAGATTCTGGCATTGTGAACCAGCTGCTCCTCTGGGAGTACAATCATGTTAGTATTTACATTTTTGTGTTAAAAAGGACAATGTTCACACTATGTTTTGTATAATTGCACAAAAGCTCCCATCTGTGCAACATACATGGATTAATACCTTCCGATCTTTAATATGTTCAGCCTTGCAGTGGCTCTGTCAGATAGGAAAGTACTTCTTCCACATCGCAGGAGGAAGGTTGTGTTAGAGACAGAAAAACACCACCTCACCCACCCCACCCACCCCGAGATCCTTGAAGAAATTTAGACATCCACTTCACTATGATTTCAAGGCGGAGGTGAGATTTTTATGCTTTAGTTTTAAGTGACGTATATCTTGGCCTGTAAGAAACCTGTTCCGGAGTAGTAAAATAAACAGAAATCCCCTGAATCCATGTGTAACGGCCTGCTGTTGGACCATCTTTCCTCTCCAGCGTGTCTCTGGATTTTAAAAACAGAGAGAGAGAAAGAAAGTGTCACCCAGATTAGGGGGAGGAAAAATCACTATACATTGGCCTATTAGGCTTGAAATGTTTAATCACTAGTATGCTCTGATACACTGTGCCTTTTCGCTTGTTAATGCTGCTGGATGCCTGGTCATGTACAACTGACCTGTAGAAGAGGACAGCATCTTCTGTGCCTTCCCTCTGTTTTGCAAGATCTGCTGGGAAGTCCTTGCATAAGCTTGTAGGCAGCAGTAGTACTGGTGATTAACAGGATTTGCTCACTTCCCGACCAGGCGTCGTTCTGACATCTGTACGCCTCATACATCCACATCCTTCCAAAGAGCTGCTCCTTTTCTAGCTGTGTGCCAGTATTTGCTTGAGCTGAGAGGGTTAAAATAGTGTTTAGACTTAAATTTTATACCCTATTATACACTGAGTATGCAAGGCTTTCTACAAATATGCAGTAATAAGAAACCACTATTTGAAAGCTGTTGGTGGCAAAGAGCTGTTATCAGTTTGCTGGCTGATCTACTGCTAGCATCTGCCCCTTTTGTCTGTTTCTCCTTTCCAGCAGCTCTCGGCAGCCAAATTTGGCCTTCTCTTTTATTTTAAATATTGATGAGGGCTTTGTGTGGTCTGTTTCTTGAAAGCTAAAAGCTGTGAGGTACAAAAACTGCTCCTTTCAGTTAACGAAGACCCAAATCGACATCTCCACTGAAAAAAAAAAAAAAAAAAAAGTTGGGAAACTTTTCCTGACAGGGTGCTGAATAAGATGCTCCTGTACTATTTTGGGGGTAAGGAGAGGTACCATTCTGACCATGCACTGTAGTTGGGTTCCTGATTTTGACAGCCTTTCTCTACCCCTGTTTGTCGGTAAATCTTCCTGCTCCCCTTTGCGCCCCGCAGTGATCCTGGCATCTTTCCTCGCTCCACTGCACTCGTCGCATTGCTAGGTGCTCCCACCAGGATGAAACCCTTCACCGCTCCGTCCCCCAAGGACCCTGGTTTGGCACAGTGGAGCCCAGCTCCCTGACACTATGCGGTTGTTACCCCAGCAGTACACTGGGGAGCCACGGGGGGCACTGGGGAATGAGGGGGCTGGGCAGACCCTGCTGCCCCATGCCAGCCCCCGTGGGCTGAGTGGGGCAGCCCTGGGGTGCAGCGGGCTCAGCTGGGAGCCCCCCACAAAGCCCAGCCACGGTGCCGAGGCAGCTCTGGGGTCAGTCTGTGGGGCAGGGACTGGATGGATGGGGCACAGGGCTAGGCATAGGCATAGGCATGGCTGCAACGTCAGGGGTAGGAGCCTCAGCTTAAAAGCCCTCTCCATATTTTTCAGCTCCTTCCCGCTTCCCTGCCTGCAACCTGGCTGCCTTGTACAGTGCTTTCTTCTCTGTTGAGCAATTCCATCTTTTGCCCTGCCTCACAGCTCAGGGTTTCTGGGTTGGTGATGCTTGCTGTCCTCATCTCTCATTACAAAAGCTGTCCCATGTGGCTGCTGCTCCCGGATGTCTCCTGTGGTGGGCTGAAGGGCCGTGGCAGGATGGGCAGGAAGGTGTGGAGCAGAGCAATGTGGGGAAAGATACACCTACGGTGAGGAAGGGACGGGACTATGGCCCACTGCAAAGGAGGGATGGCAGTTAAAGTAAAGAAAACAAGGGGTGTGCTTCGAATTACCATGGGCTTTTTTGAGTGGGGAGACAGGCTGTGGTTCCCACATCACCGGAGTGCTGTACTCCGCAGCTGGCAGTGCTGGCCAGCTGTGCGATGTCTAGTGCTGGGGGCTTCGCAGCGTGTTCTGCTGTTGCATCTGTCAGGTGCGAGCAAATGTTGTTACTTTATTAATGAAGTAGGCATAGAAATCTCAGGAAGACACCAGGCTGTAGTGTTTTACTCGAGCTTATGAAGTTTCACTAAGAAATCCTCAAGATTGTGCGAGATCCTTGCAAGGACACGCGGAGTCTTGTATTTCAAGAAATAGTCTAAAGACTAGTGACAGCTTTTCATAAAGTTAAGAAAAAAAATCATCTTCCTGGGACTTCTTGGGTAACCTGGGGTGTCCCTGAGCAGATGAGGTGTGTCTGGGGGGTGAGGAGTAGGTGTCCACCAGAGGGCCCTCCCTCCCCACACCTTGGTGGCCTCACCGCAGAGGTGCTGCTCACACCTGCCGAGCTCCCCGGAAGGCTTTGGGAAAGCTGCAATCAGAAATGACCGCTTCCACTTCAGCCCTCTATTCGTCTGAGCAGGCAGTCACGATTTCAATATTAAAAGTCTCTGCTTTTGATCCAGTAGCTTAATTCTCTATGTGGATGCTGTGTGGAGCGTGAATAGCATTGAATTGTAAAAGGAGTTCCTTCAAGGAGGTTACGTATGATCCTGATACGCAGCGGTTTAGCTAAGTACAAATAGTCTGTTAGCATGAGGTGTGCAGAAGTGAACAGAAGCAAATACATTCTCTCTTGGTGTTGCATATGTACAGTATTACTATTGGGGGAAGCCTTAGTAAGCAATAAACTTTAACTTAGATTCAGGCTATGTCAAAAAAGTCAGGGCATTTTAAATGTGTCAACTATGGTACCTTTGGAAAGGCCACCGTGTTTCTCCCTCAGGCTGGGATCATGTGAATGGCTTCATACAAAGCGTCCTGCATCTGCTTCCATACAGTCTGTAGCGTTGGGGCCGAATTGAAAAGCATGGCTCCAAACACGAATCCTTTGTCCACCTTTCCGCTGCAGGCTGCCTTATTCCAAGTATTTTCGGAGACCGCTCTTGACCATAACTCTCCACGGCACATCGTAACAATCACTTCCTATTTACTGTTCTTGGCAAATGTGCTAAACTTAAAAGAGTGAAGGGACGAAAGCTGAAGGGCCAGTGCAGAGCAGTGTTGTGTATGGGCTTTGGACTGACAGACACTGCATGCTTTGCTTTGACAATGCACGTAGTCTGTAAACCTCTTTTTTTTTTTATTCCCCCCTCCCGATTTGTTCTTGATGGAAGCTCTGCAAACTTTAATTTTCCATTGTGCTTGAAAGGAAGGAAATGCATATCTGTAACTGCTCTGAAACACAGTAACTAGGAACTGATTTATGTAAACTTTCAGCAGCTTTTTTTTTCTTTGGTTATACTCAAGGGTGACTTAACACCAAATGTATTTGATGGGAATTACACCCACTGGTTATTCTAAATTCCCTTAGCTCTAGATTCAAGCTTAATATATTTAATTTTAGTGCACCAAATATTACTTAAAAGTCTACCTTGACAATTGTCCTTTGGTGCTAGTTTGAGATTTTAAGATTTTGTGTATTTTCTTGTGACTTACGTTTCCAGCAGCTTTTAGAGGAAAAGCTGTAGGTGCACTCCCTAAAAAACTTGTCATGGCTTTCCAAGAAAAACAAAAGCAAGGGCTAAAACCTGTTGGCAGAGACAAATGGAATTATGGTTTTGACCTTCTCTATGAAGCAGCAGCTAAAAGACTCTGAGTCTTTTGTAATGTTAACTGGGGAAAACATCCTGGACTCATTATCAGGGAGCAAGCTTAACAAAGCATTTAAAACCAGCACCTTATCTGTCCCATGTTGAAATGCTCTAAACTTCTATTATATCACCTTCAGTGAATTGCAGCCCTGTCTGCCTAGTGGAAACTCTTGAATGGCATTCTCTGTGCCCTCTTGAGCCAACAGCATATTGCTTCAGCCATGGTGAACTCCCCATCGGGGATGAAACAGAAGGAGGTATCTGGCAGCCTACTTCAGGCCACTTTGTGGGATGGATGTTGTGATTGATGCTGCGGTGTGACACAACGTCCTGCACAGAAAGTACTATACTAAAAGTACTTTAAAGTAACAAACAAGTTTATTCCTTGGTGTGAGCGCCACAGTAAATGAACTCAACAGATCTGTTCCCTGCCCCATGGGAAAGTGCAGCCTGGTTTCTGTGAGGGATGAGCTGGCTCTTGACTCTCGCTGCTGTGATACCTGTTTGCTCCTAAGTCATCTCTGCATTGTCCCAGCAAAGTCTTAAAGAGCCTCTTTCTGACTGGGTCAGGAAACTCCCTTGCTTAGAGCTCATTAATGTTTGCTTTGCTTTTTAGTCACAAAGCACCTCTAAAGTAAAAATATGAGTGAATTTTAAGCAAACACAGCTGCATGTTTGCATTGGTGTGGCAGTCGTTTCTGCACTTGTGGTCATTTCCTCTTGATTTTTTGTTTCATTAATTGAAATTATTAGATGGGACTTCGGTGGTGTGTCACCATCCACTATCTTGTAGTTTCAGATAAGACTTCAGCAGACACTATAGGAAGAAATGGAGCTTTTGCTCTAGCCCTAGAGGTGTTTACCCTGCCATGGAGGAGCCTGTGGTTTCCCTGGTGCTTTCACTGTTGTTGCTGGAAGAGCTGTTGTAATCTGCTGCACCTATTTATTGCCTGAGGTATTTCTCTCCTGTTCAGCCGCTAAGCATCTGTAAAAGAAATCCAACTCGGACATTGCTATCTCCCCACTGATCATAAGGGAGACATGTTGAGGGAGCAGTAGCACTCTCTTAACTACCTTCTCACAGTTTATGCTTCAGTCAAGCTGTTGTGTCGAAGCTAAACCACCAGAAAAGCTTTGTATTTATTTTTTAGGTGGAATTTTCTGCCTCAGATACCTGAGGGAATTCCCTTTTTGGTGGAAATTTCTCCTTAGGTTGGTTTAGCTGCAACACAAAGCCTTGCTTTCTGGAGAAAGACATACAGGTGGGGTGGCAGTGCTGGGACATCCTTACCTTCCTGCTTAACCGGTAGAGAGTCATTTGGCATGTGCTAAGGAGATGTTTAGGGTACGCTGTTGACAGGCTTGCGCAAATTATAAAATGAGTTCTCTGGAGCGTGAAGCCACCAAAAAATTGTGGGCAAGCCCTTTGCATAGCAAGTGGGTAAATGATGGTGTGTCACTTACGGTTTCTTCTTTTCATTGTTTAAAGAATTTCTGAAGAGTTGTACAAGGAACTTTGGTTGCAGGTGTTACCACAAAGGGAAATAAATACATGAGTCTTTCGGGAAGTCGTTAACCTTGCCCACCTAATGTGTTTTATAACCAGTTTTGTTTGCACTAGATAGTGAAGAGCTGTTCACCAGCTGGTAATCCAATGTTCAAATACAGATTTCACCCTTACAGGAAAAAAAAAAAGCTAGGGACTTCTGTGTATTTAAACATTACAATGTAGTCTGTACATGCCATAACTGGCAGGGTTTGGGGAACCGGGTGCTGCAGGGGTGACCTGTGTGGAAGGGATCCATGACCTGCCCTGTGCTGGTTCCAGCTGGTTCCAGCCAGCTCCAAAACAGATGAAAACAGCCCATTGCACACCAAAACTGTAACGGGTCAGAGCAGCACATGGTGCCTTTGCTTGAACATATTTAAGAAAGGGCAGCAGCTGCTAGGGACAGAAGTCACAGAAAGGAGACATGAGAGGAGACACAAAACGGCACACATAAGGACAAACATGGGAGGACACACATGAGGATGCAGAAAAGGAGACATAAAGAGTCACAAAAGAGGATGTGAAAAGGTGACATGGAGCAGGAGGCACAAAAGGACGTGTGTGAGGACAAAGGAAAGGAGACACAAAAGCAAAGATGTGAAGAGACACAGGAGGAGATGTGAGAGGGGACAGAAGAGGACATGCAAAGGGAAATGTGAAGAGACATGTCTGGAGTAAAGGGAGAAAGAAGTGGAGGAGGCCTGTGGAAGGGGACATTGTTGGGTACGTGGCTGGAGATGCTCTCTTGGAAGGAAACGCTCTGTGCTAGAGAAAGTACACTTGAGGGACTGCGACCCATGCTGGAGCAGGGACACCCCTGATGATCTGCAGCTTGTGGAGGACCCACACTGGGACAGGGACAGCCCTGAGGGACTGTGGCCCATGGATGGCCTGTGTCAGAGCAGATACACACCAAGGGACTGCAGGCTGTGGAGGACCCATGTTGGAGCAGAGGAGCAGTAAGGAGCAAGGAACAGTGGGGGGAAAGTGAGGTGCAAGGAGTGGCCAAAAGAAACCATTATGCACTGACCCATAGCCTCCTGTGCTGCCTGTTGCCTCATAGAAGGAATTGGGACAGACTGAGTGTAACCCACAGTGAAAACAAGGGATGTTGAGACTAGGGATGGGGGAGGAGAGATGTTGGACTGAAGATGAGCCTGGGTAAAGAGGAGGAAAGGTGTTTCCCAAAGTGTTTTTTTTAATTGTTAGTTGCTGGTCTCTCTCTTTTTTTTTTTTTCCTCCTCAGTATGTGAATCAGTAATTGAAAATTTATATAAATTTGTAATAAATTAAACTAAGCGAAATTCCCCAAGTAAAGAATGTTTTGCCTATGGCAGTATATTCATTATGCTGATGTGTAAAGTGGTTTAGCAATGACGTGGCCAAACAGTACAAACCCCATGTGGGCTTAATCTGGGTGGAGTTTCCCCTCTCCATGTGTGAGACTGCCATATCCCTGTAGCACTGCATCGGTGCTTTAGCATTTTCCCAAGTACAGCTTTCTAGAGAAGGGCCAGCACCAGCCAGTTACAGGCGTTCACAAGTGATGATCTTTGAACAAGTTGTGTTGGCAAAAGCCATAGAACAGATGCAGTTTTATTGGCAAACCCTTCTATTCAGTCTGTAAAAGATTAATTGTGGGGCAGAGCTGGAGTAAACTTTTGCCATTGATGTGCTGGTTCTGCAGGGCAGAGTTGTACCTCTTCCCCCCCCCCCCCCCAACCTCTTTGCTGGTGCAGTACTACTAGCCTAGGAGTAACTATACTGTGTACTCCAGGTGTAACATGTTTAAAAAAAAAAAAAAATAAATCTCACTCCCTCACTCTTCTTCCTTCCAAACATGAGTGGAGCGATAGAGAGAAAAGGGAGAGAACAGAGGGAGGGGAGATGGAAAGGTCTTGCCTTTTCTTGCAACTATATGGAAAGAAAGCGTGTGTTACCCTCTTAGAGTCTGAAGGAAAGCAGAGGGCACGGAGGGGAAGTGCAACTTACTGTGATGTGGCCATTCCCAGGCATGCTAGTGCCTGGTGCTACTGGCGGGATGGTGTGTCATTGTCTACAGGTAGAGTCGAAATGCTCCAAAGTCGTCTCTCCAAGACACTGAAGATGTGTTGAAAAAATCACAGGATGGTAAACTTTTGTTCAAATGGAGGAAAAAACCCTGAGATTTTAAAAAATCTCAGTGGAGAGTTTTTTTGTTTTTTTTTTTTTTTTTTTTTAACTGAAGAATGATTAATCTGAAATGGAAAATTCTCTTCTGTTATTAAGCTAACCCGTAGCTATCTGTCAAGCATAATGTAGTTGTCTATTGCATTCTGTGCATTTAGTTTGGCTCACAAAGCTTCTGTTTTTACTGTTGGATTGTGTTGATTTTCTTTCTTTCAAATTTTGCAAACTTTTACCAAAAGGAAAACAGGGATTACAGCAGAGAAGACATTAAAATGTTTTGCATCTTTCAGGCAGTTGTGGGGGTTTTTTTGGTTTGGGTTTTTTTTTTTTTTTTTTCTTTAAAGACTATATTCCTTGTGAAACCGTACTGTTTTTTTTCTTTAAGAGCCTGGCACCACTTTGACTATGCAGGCTTTGAGGAAGGCATTGGCATGTTGATGACACCGCCCTTCAATTAGACTGTGCACTGACACACCTTATTTCAGACTTAAAAGCTGTTGGACTTTCTGAGAGATAAACTCAGCTCTACTCTTCCAGCTGCTGCAACATTATCTCTTTATGATTAAATATACACTTTGGACTTCAGAGATCTAAATTTGAGGCTGGCAAGGACAGTCGCACGAGGCTTGTAAAAGCAGAAATAGCCCTGTGTATATCCCAGCTCAACCGCCTGACAGGAGAGTTTATAGGTGTCCCCCTACACTTGAGTGTACTGCTAGAGAAGATCTGGCTCTGTGGGTAGAATAGGTGGGAAAAGAGGAGAATGCGCCTTTTAAAGTTGACTGCTGTACTGAAGGCTTAACAGTTGTAATGTTTGATTCTCTTTCACAAAGTCTGGTTTTAAATGGTGAAAGAAGGGAAAATATGATTTTTTTTTATTTTTTTTTTCAGTGAAGGAAAGTGTTAAGTACTGTCAGTCTAGAGGCTTAAATATTAAATTAAGAGCATGGTCAAGAACAGAGGTGCCATGTGAAGGAACGCAGTAAACACTCCTGTGTTGTGGAGACTTTGTAGCAAATATGGGATACAGGGTGGTTAATGAGGAATAAACGTAAGGGAAACAAGTACGATTCTATGAATCTGGGATCTGACACCTCTAGACAGGAACAGATGATAGTGCTGGGGTTTTAGATGAGTTCTCCGTTTCAGGGAGGGCTGGCAGGTAGTTCTCCTCTGGGGAAATGAAACACGTCAGAAGCAGCTGTCGCACTCGCTCTCAGGTGTCAGGATCCATTAGTATGGCAGCAAACTGGAAGACAAAAGATAATCTAAAATCCTAGTACCACGGATTACTCCTGTACATGTCTGACTTGAAAATAATGGACTGATGAAGATAAAATGGAATAAATGCTGTATTTCCTTACAAGTGGCAAGCACAGTAGGCATCCAGGGAAGTAAGGGTCAGTAAGGGAGAGGTTTGACCATATTTTGTTTTTGAAGGAGGGTAACCTTTGCCAGAGGACAATGTATCATACCAGATCAAACAGCCTGAGAAAGGTGAGACATGAGGTGAGACATGTCCAGATAGTAGTGAGGCTGAAGATGTATTCAGCAGGCACGCACACACATATGTATGTACATATACATGCTTGGCCATGCAGATCACACGCAGACACTCAGAGCACCCACGTGAATGTAGGCAACACCAACAGCCTCATCCTGCTCCCTTCTCTGACTGGATAGGATGGAAGTCCACAAATAAGCATACACATAGACATGTACAAGGTGAATCCCTCCAGCAGGTGGGCTTAGGCACTCAGTGCAGTAGCTGCCCCTGGATCCCAGTCTCCCCAGTTGCTCACACCTGGACATACAAGTCCCAAAGACCGTAGCCTTTACTCCGGTTGCTAATACAAACTGATAAACACACACACGGAGCTGGCCAGGACTTTCCATGTCCCATAGCCAATGCCCCTGTGCTCTCACCCTTAGAGACACACGGGTGCTCTCATACCCAGAGCCAGCCCTTAGGGACTCACTCATGGTCTTGGCTCCCAGGCCACTTTGCATACTCACAGGCTGGTCCGCTTGATCTTTGCTCACCATTGCACACCCACAGTCACTCCAGTTGCTGGCACCACGGACTCACGGGCCCTCTGGCCTGTGGTTTGACCCCAGTTGCTGCATCCACACCCCAATGTACACATGTGCACAAAGAATTGAAAGCCTTCACGCTGGAAAGAGTCAGAAAGGAATTTAATGAGAAGACAAGAGAGACTGCGCAGATCAGGCGCAGGGCATGGCCAGACAGGCATACTGCCCAGCAAGCTATTTACCTGCATCTGGCCCTTGTAATCCCCTTACACTTCTATTTTCCCTGTCTTGTTCATCCCCAAATCACCTAAACCCATCCTTTGACCTGCTGTTGGTTCCTTTGCTAAATATCTCATAGTAAGTCCTGTGCAATTCCAGACTCTTCTTCTGCAACCCATAATATGTCCCACCCTTAGTCTGAAAGGTGATCTGGAGAGCTGCTTCTGGTGACTCTGGTGATGGGTTTCATGCCTGGACCCTGGAACAGCCCTGGGAGGGGCCCAGACAAGGTGCTGATTCCTCCAGAGTCCTTCATCTGGGATCCCACCTGCCATTGTGCTTCTGTGCTCCTCTGGGCTTGGGCAGATGGCTCTTCGATGGGCTAATGGCCCCTGTGGTGGGCTTGGGAGTAGCCTGGCTGGGTATATTTGGGCTTGTCCCTCTGAGCTTTTTGTGGGCATGCAGATGAGCTCTGTCATATAACCTCACAACCTGAACATTGGGCTGTGGTTTCTGATAGGGCCCTGTGATTGCTGTGGCAGCATGGAGAAGCCAGGATGCTTTTTAAAAGATGACCTAAAGGTATAATTCAAGCATGTTGGCATGAAGGAGAGTTCAGCATGCAGCTCTGCCATAGTACTGTCCTGAGGCTGGTCGTCTGTTGCCTTCCCTGTCAATGTCTTTTTTTTCTTCTCTCCTTCCCTTCAGATCACGACGGTTGTCTTGGGAGAGCAGGCTCTGATGGGAGCAAGAATGCTCAGGATACCCAACTGCCTGCCAAAACTGACCAGGGTGGTGATGAGCCACAAGCTCGGGGCTCTGTTTATCCTCGCCTTTAAGTTCATGTCCTTTGCCTCCATCGTGTTTTACTGGAGAATCACGGAGGACCCTAAGGGCAGGGGCCAGGTGTACAGCTTGCCTGTTGAAATCCACTGTGCTCACTCTGTGCCTTCTCCTCCCAACGCCATTGCTGGTGGGCCCCCTTCTTCCCCAGGAGATGTGTTTTTTGTGGAGACCTCGGAGCGAACTAACCCAAGTTACCTGTTCACGTGCTCCGTGGAGTCAGCGGCCAGGACGCACCCTGGGACAAGGGTTGTGGTGCTGATGAAAGGTTTGGCAAACGAGAATGCCTCATTACCCAACCACTGGGGCTTTTCGTTGCTGAGCTGCTTCCCCAATGTGGAAATCCGACCCCTGGACTTGCCGGAGCTTTTCTCTGGCACACCTCTGGCAAAGTGGTACTTGCAGGCTCAACATCGCTGGGAGCCTTATTTCTTACCTGTCCTGTCTGATGCCTGCAGAATTACCATCATGTGGAAATTTGGCGGCATCTACTTGGACACAGACTTCATTGTGCTTAAGAACTTAAAGAACCTCACAAATGTGCTTGGTACCCAATCCAAGTATGTACTGAACGGGGCCTTTCTGTCCTTTAAACCCAAACACAAGTTCATGGAGCTTTGCATGAAGGACTTTGTAGAGAACTACAACAGCTGGATCTGGGGACACCAGGGCCCACAGCTCCTAACACGTGTCTTCAAGAAATGGTGCTCCATCAGGAGTCTTCGGAGCAGTACGAGCTGCAAAGGAGTGAGTGCTCTACCCCGTGAGGCTTTTTATCCCATTCGGTGGCAGGACTGGAAGAAATACTTTGAAGCGGTCAGCTCCTCAGAGCTTCATCACCTCTTTAACAATACCTATGCAGTGCATATATGGAACAAGAAGAGTCAAGGGACAAGGCTTGAGATCACATCCCAGGCTTTGCTGGCTCAACTGCATTCTCACTTCTGCCCTGCCACATACAGTATCATGAAGAAGGACTCCGAACGTCAATGACTCAAGGGTCAGCTAAGAGATGTTGCACGGGAGCCCACAACTCTCCAGCTGTTCCATCACAAATGAACCTTCTTTTGAAGAGAGGTGGTGGGACTTGAGGATAAATGCCATTTGTGGTTTGTAGGTGGAGCCTGTAGCTTTAGCTGATGTCTGTGCAGCTCTTTGTCTTGATTTTAACCACCTACCAGCAACATTTTGTTTCTCTGCAGGACCTTTCTTCTGCTCTGCTTGTCAGGTAGAGAAATCTCAGGAGGGGAGCAAGTTCTGAGCCACTTCTGGCAGCTTCCATCAGCCTTTCAGAGGAGTAAGGCCCTTTTTATGGCTGTAAATCTGGAAGAGGCCTTTATAGAAATGCATATCTCATTGCCTGATTCTCAGGACTTCTGAAGTGCAGTCCTCAAATCAACAAAAGGATGGGAGAGCAAAGAACAGGAACTGAGAAGGAAGTTAAGGATATGCTAGAGAAGGTGCCATGAGAAAAACATAGAGGAAAACAGAGAGGAAAGAAAGGGCTAAATCAGTTTATTTTTCTTTTCATTCCCTTTCTTCTGAAGCCTTTGGTGGAGGAGACTTTCTTGTGTCTGTTTTGAGCAGGGAGCAGGATGCTGCACTCTCTGTTTGATGTCATAGATGCAAAGACATGGAAATTTGGTGTGAATCAGAACACAAGAATCTGAGGCCAGCTCATCATTTAGAAGGAGCTCTTGCGCAGCAATGTTTTATTTTATAGTAGCGGCAAATTAACACCCTGCAATGAGCAGAAGAGCTCCCGGAAATCACACTTTAAATTGCATCTCACACAGGAAGAGCTGAACTATCTTTTACACTGAGTTTGTCTCTGGGACCAAATGCCCATAACTGCGTGTAAGATGCACCAGATCTTTCAGTACTTGGACGGCTCCTAAAGGAAAGGCATAATATTTCCAAGTATTTCCAAGGTTACAGAGAGCATGGTAGGGAACCTGTAGTGTCTAAATTCAAGTCCGTTCGTGAGTCATTTGTGGTAGACCTCTTCAAGTAGCCTGGAATACTCCTGCAACTCACTGTCCAGAAGTACAAATCTTTCCTGGGAGGTCTTGAGGAGGGCAGTGGAAAGCTTTACTCTTCTCCTTGAGCATCTTTCTGAATTGCAGTGGATAAAGGTAATGTATCTCTTGCAAGGTGCTGTTGTGCCTTTGAGGGTTCCTACCACAGAGGCAAGTTTGTTGGACAAACTGTGTGAGGCAACTCGTCCCTTGCCTTGATGGCCAAAAGGATGTATTGATGCTCTTACAGTTCTCATTGGAAAATAATGGAGAAAGAGCAGTGAGGAAACAAGAATAATGTTGATACCATCAACATCATTATATTTGGTCCCAACCACACATTAAAGGGGATCACTGAGGCACATGAGCTTGGCACTGCGACACGGTTAATGCAGATAAGCATTGGCCACCTCCTCTCCTACACTACTAAGAGATTATGATCTCACTGTAAAATCTTCTCTGCCTCCAGTGCGCCTCCTCTTCTTATGCCTAGGAACAGCAGTGGGGTGGTCCAACCGTCCCTTTGATGATCATGAGTTGGTCAGATCTTCAGTGTCACTTGGTCCCAAAGTGACAACTCTTTCACGTGGTGGTTCCTGCAAGTCCTCTGACTGTGACTCAAATAATTTCTAGATCTGCAGTTGTCTGAGGTGTCTTGTGTTTCCCAGGTCAACCATAAGCAATGTGAGGTTTGCTCAGTTCAGCCAAGGTCAAAAATGTAAAAGACTGTGCATGCAACATTTCTCTGTCTCAGGTTTATTTGTCTCTTCTTTGACAAAACCAAGAAAGACAAGTTGCCCATCACTTCCACAAAACAGTTCCCTGTCCTTCAGGGAACATGGCTGTGGGAGCTTAAGGAGTGCATGCACTTTTTTATTTCTTTTTTTTTTTTCTTTATGCTGAGCTGTTTGGTGTTGATTGGAGGCTAGTGCTGCCTTGATTGAAAGGTACCTGCCTGTGAGTTGGGCAGGGTGTGAGGTCTGTGCATACGTAGCTACTCTGGGGTGAAGAATGTGCTCCAGTGGCTGGCATCACATATGTGTATGTATGTAGTGCTGCCCCTTTGTTATGCCCAGCTTTATGGTATATCATGGAGGCATTCAGGATTTTGAATGTTTGCATCTCTGCCAATACTGAACATCTTTAAGAACAAAGACTTTGTGGGGAAACAGCAGATCTTCCTGACTGTATAAGCATTCTTCAGCACACTAAGTGGTATAAATGGGGTTTTCACTCCCTACTCTGTGGGTTTTTTTCATTGCTTTCTTTAGAAGCAGTCGCAAAATTGTCAGCCCTGGCCTAGTGTGTGGTTAGTGAAGCATGGTTTCCCCTTTCACTGGTTCCTTCCGTTTTGGGCCCTTTGGGCTAAACAACAGAAATCTTAGTGAGCTAGGAACCCCTACCAGACATGGTAAAATGGTGGTTGGTGATCATAAAGGTGTAAGAGAAGACTCTACTGTGGCAATACCATGAACTGATTATGGGAATATTTGGGACCCACTGCAATCAATATCTGACATGATGTACCACTGTTTGTTCTAGGAAAGTGCCTTTTTGCATAAGTGTTTTTTGTTGTTGCTGTTCTTCTTTGTTTTTTTCCCCTGTAGAGTAAATGTTCCAAGGTTTGATAAGGACAGAATCAAACCAAAGCAGTCTTTGGCCTTTTTCCCTTTGTCTTGTGAAAGAAAAATAAATACAGTTTTTACTATTACTTTTCTCTGCCAAGGTGTTCCATTTTGTTCTGCGAGGCGTTGGTGGTAGGTCTGAGCAATCTGTTAGTTATTCTGCAGAAAAGCATTTTAAAATTGTGTCCTGAAGTGGCTCACTAAAATTAGGAGTGTGGGATGAACATGAGACAAGTTGAGCATAAGGACATGTGGAAAGAAGGCTCTGCGGACCATGACTACATGCCATCTTTGGGACCTAAGTGGTGGGAACAGAGGAAAGCACAGTGCGGTACTGATTCCTAATCCAACCAGGTATCACTCCATCATTCATGACCTGCAATCTGTCTGATTTTAGTCTCACTCTGAAGGTCTAGAAGTTATTGAATAGGAAACTCCATGAGAAATTGTGTTGCTTTTTCCCTGGGTGATGAGCTACAGCCTCCCTCAGTAGTGACAATGCCTGTGCTCTTGTAGATCTAAAAGTGGAAATCTTGTGCTGCAGTGATTCTTTTTCCCACCTGCCTTTCAGAGACTGATCTAAAGACCCTGATCTAAAAGGGGGGAATTTTGAGAGGCTATGAAAGGACTGGTGGGGTCTTGTGTGCAGAGGAGTTTTATTGCAACTCCTTGAGTCAAAAGCCAGGGAAACAGTTTTCCCTTGAGATGTAAAAAGTTGCCTGTGCTTTCTTCATTGCTGATATGTAGTCAAGGATGATGGGAAGTAGCAAAAAGGCACTTAGCTGTTTCTTGCCCTGTCTCCTTTGTCTTTGAGCTCGTTAAGGTTAGCTGGTACACAGATGTGCAGCACATCAAGGAGGGAAGCCAGGGGTGGGGGTTGGGACGCAGAATTGGACAGTGCAACAGAAGAAGAGTAAGGAAGGATCAGTAAGGTAATCCTGGACCCGGTCTCCTGGGAAGAGGCTGAATGATGATTATTTTCTCTGTGCTAGCTGAGAGCTCTCCTATGCCAGGAGCTCTTCTGTTAGGGGGATCTAGGATGCGCAGTAAGTAGTAATGCTCTGTAGGGCTCTTCTTTCCCCTGTTCTTCTTCTCCTTGTTTCTTTTCAACCAGAAAAGGAAGGTCAAAGAAACAGTACCCTCTCACTCCCCACAGCCCCCCCACCATGATGAGCCAGACTGGCAAATTGGTAACAGTGAACAAGGAGAAGGCTGAGGTATTCAACAACTTTTTTGCCTCAGTCTTCACTGGCACACTCTCTACCCACACGTCTTGAGTGGATGGACTACAAGACGGGGACTGGAGGAGCAAAGTCCCTCCCACTGTAAGAGAAGATCAGGTTCATGACCACCTGAGGAACCTGTATATTCATAAATCTATGGCACCTGACAAGATGCATCCCAGAGTCCTGAGGGACTTGGCTGATGTAGTTGCCAAGCCACTCTCCATGGTATTTGAATAGTCATGGCAGTCAGGTGAAGTCCCTGGTGACTGGAAAAAGGGAAACTTTGCACCCATTTTTAAAAAGGGTAGAAAGGAGGACCCTGGAAACTACCGACCTGTCAGCCTCACCTCTGTGCCTGGGAAGAACATGGGATAGATCTTCCTTGAAGCTATGGTAAGGCACATGGAGGACAGGGAAGTGATTTGAGACAGCCAGCATGGCTTCACCAAGGGTAAGTCCTGCCTGACCAACCTAGTGGATTTCTATGATGGAGTGACTACATCAGTGGACGAGGGAAGAGCTACAGTTGTCATCTACCTGGACTTCTGTAAGGCCTTTGGCACAGTCTCCCACAGCATCCTGCTTTCTAAATTGGAGAGAGATGGATTTGATGGGTGGACTGTTTGGTGGATGAGGAATTGGTTAGATGGTCGCATCCGGAGGCTAGTGCTCAATAGCTCAATGTGCAGATGGAAATCAGTGACAGGTGGCATCCCTCAGGGGTCTGTATAGGGACCAGTACTGTTCAATATCTTCATCAGTGACAAAGACGGTGGGATTGAGTGCACCCTCAGGAATTTTGCAGATGACACCAAGCTGAGTGGTGTGGTTGACATACCTGAGGGAAGGGATGCCATCCAGAGGGACCTCAAGTGCAAGGTCCGGCACCTGTGTCGGGGCCCCCCCCAGTATCAATACAGGCTGGGGGATGAGCGTATTGAAAGTAGCCCTGCCAAGTTTGACTTGGGGGTACTGGCGGATTAAAAGCTGGACATCAGCTAACAATGTACGCTTGCAGCCCGGAAAGCTAACCATATCCTGGGCTGCATCAAAAGAAGCGTGGCCAGCAGGTCAAGAGAGGTGATTCTGCCCCTTTACTTCACTCTTGTGAGACCCCACCTGGA